TGAATGAATGAATGAATATATGAATGAATGAATGAATGAATGAATGAATGAATGAATCAGTGATGATGATCTAGGAATATATATATACACACACACACACATACATACACATACATAACACACACACACACACATCAAATCTGCAATTTTTTTTTTTTTCTGGGAGTGTTCCATTTTGTGCTGCTAAAAGGAAAATAGGATATTTAATTGTTCTTTTATCTAAGCAAGCCAGGCATTTTCCTATACACTGAAAAATAGTATAAGCCAAAAAGAGTATTTGCTTAGCCTTCCCTTTATTTTTGCTCCAGGGCAGAGTTTGTTTCAGGCTTTTTTTCTTTATGGAAATGTTCATCTAAAGCCTAGTAGAATGGGCTAGAGCAAGTGTTACTGCTAGATCAGATAGATAGATAGATAGATAGATAGATAGATAGATAGATAGATCTGTATAGTAATCAATTGCAGTGTTCTCTTAACACTTGGAAGAAGTAGAAGTCTGACTCTCCTCATCCACTAACTTCCTAATTTTATGAAATACATACCACTTTATCTAATATTAAGCTGCAAGGAAACCTGAGTCTGAATAATAACTGAATATTGCAGAGTATTGCAGAGTTTTAAATTGCCCCAGAACTGTGCAATAAGAAGTCTTAAATTGCAATCAAGAGGGCCACGCAAATGTGCTTCCATTAATTAGGGAGCTGGTCCTGAAACATCTAAAAGAAATGTTTAAAATGAAGTTTTAGCAAGGCACATCCCTTCACTGGGATTGCTAGGCTATTTACTGGCTCTGCTCCTGAGTTTTAACAGTAATATGATATAAAGGGATTTAGCTTCATCTATTGCAGAGGGGGACGCAAGTTACTCATTTCTGTACTTTTCTTAAAACTACAAAGATCTGGCCTGCAGAAAAGGAAGCAGCCCAGTGAGCTTTGTAGAGAGGCACGATTTTTTAAAATTGTACCAGAGTTTTCAGACAAAATGGGACTTCACATGTAATCTTCCAGCAAGAGACATTATACAGAGCCAAACAAACACACATGGAATTTTTATCAGATGGAAATTGGACTGATGCAATTAGCTCATTCAGTGTTCTTTAGATACTGGGGTTGATTTAACCATAGCCTTTTCAGTGAACGTAGGTTGGTGGTGAGTTCTTGCAAGCAACTAATGGTCTTATGACCTCTGTTGCTTTTCTTGATTAAAAGCCAGAAGTTCTAGCATTATGTCCCAAAACCTCTAAGTCCAAAGGCAATTTCTCTGTATGTTTTGGAAAGATCTGAATTCTGCCAGCATGTAATCAGTCAACATGATTGCTGGAGAAATTGGTCTGGAGATAATTTATACATTGGGGAATTTACTGGAATTGTTCCTCAATTATTGAAATGTATCAACAGCCATATAGCTATTTAAACTGCACAGATGTTGGGCATTTGGAATGCATTTTCAGAAAGAGATTTAAAAATGCATTTCTTCTCTGTAATTAATGCTGAGTGAAAGAAGAATGTCACAATCTTTCTGTATAACAGCAGCCTGCCAGATGTTTTGGACAGTGTTCTACTCAGCACATCTTCCAATCTCTTCAGTCTCTTTTCTTGATACCACCATGCTCAACATCCTTCTATTTTCTCTACTATATGATTTCTTCCCTAGTGCCCCCAGATACATCAGATTTAGATTCTATAAGCCTCCACCACAGGGAGGCTATAGGAACTATATCCAGAGGGCAAAAGATTAGAGAAAATTTAATCTGCCTACAGGGTGCTGTGTGTTTTTCATATACGTACACACAAACATTTCTATGTTAAAAAAATATTCATTGAGGAAAATTACTTGAGCATTTTATTAACTAGGTACACACATCATGCTAAGCCACTCTAGGATAACCATTTTTAAATAAAGTACAATTGGCTGTGTTCACATAGAGTGCTCGGCTGCAAGCCTGGTTTGCAAATTACAATTGCTCAGCCCACACATCAAAATCAAAGTGTATTATGGCTTAGCATAGTGTATGAATACAGTCATTGATTAATTCACTTTATCATGGTAAAAGTTCCATGTCAGGAATGCTGATACATGAGGTATGAGCAGCTGGTTAAAAACTAAAATGCAGTTATAAAGTCATTGGTTACATATAGAAAATGAATTAGATCCAGATTTTGGATGACTAGAATGAAATAAACAATGGATATAAATGGCACTAGAATAGAGAGAGGGGGCAGTTCGGTTCTTACAGAAAAAGCAAACTTGGAATGTTCTTTCATTTAATTTATTACATTATGTATTTACTAATCCATCACATGACTCTGGGTGACTCACAATAAAAATCCATAAAACAAATCCAACAATCTCGCCCACAAGCAATTCAGTAAAACTTCCATAAATAGCCCATTGTAATCAAACACAACACAGTCAACACTGCTTTGGTGCCTTCATTGAATCTTGGGGTGGGGGCTGGGGTAGCCAGTGCAAAGGGGAGGGAATGTTGCTGAGCAGGCCTCGGAGTGAGGAGAGCCAGAACCATTCCCTCTCTGATGGAGTGCTCAGGTCAGGCAGGCTCAGGTGGAAGGAGACATTCCCTAAAATACCTGGGAGTTGAGCCCTTTGGGTTGTAGAGGTTAATACCAGCCCTTTGGGTTGTATTCAGAAATGATTGGAGGCCAATGAAGCATCTGCGATTCCAGTATTATCCTGCTAAAGTGGCTCTCACTGTCCGGAGGCAGACAGCTGATAGAAACAAAACAGCACTTATATTTATATCCATGGCTTCTCTTCATAGCTCATTCATGTTGCTTAAGCTTGATAGAGTATCAAATTCAGTAACCAATAGTCTGAAGGAAGCATGACAGACAATATGTTTTTCTACTAGAAGATAAGATGAAAAACTTCAAGTATATTATTGATCTCTTCAACCTTAAGTCCTATAAACACACATTTGGTTCCAGATGGAACAGCTTTAACTCATTAAAGCTAATGTCTACCTAACAGACTTCAGTTAAGACTGGTACTTTGGTCTAATGCAAAAGGAAATCCTTTTAATTATGAAAAATGGATTGTGTCTTACATGCTGTGTTATTTTTTATTTTTAGTTTTTTTTAATCCACCTTGTATGATTTTTATAAAAAATTCATGGCGGCAAACATATCTAATGCTCCTTCCTCCTTCTGTTTTCCCCACAACAACCTTGTGAGGTGGGTTGGGCTGAGAAAGAGTGACTGGCCTAAAGTCACCCAGCCGGCTTTCTAGCTTGGTGCCTTAACCACTAGACCAAAGTGGCTGTCCAGTTTTTTATTTTTATATATTACATTACATTACATTACATTACATTACATTACATAGACATAGACATAGATATATATCTATAGATACATAGATATAGTTTGTGTGAGAGAGTGTGTGTGTCTGTGTATATATATGTGTGTGTGTGTGTGTGTGTATAATGCTAGTTATATGCTAGTGGCAATTCATTCTCTGAGAGTGGACCTTAAGAAGCCAATCCACACACAGAAGAGGGATGTGTCAGTGTCAACCCCAGTGTTGGAAGAAATACAAAGGAAAAAGTCCAGCAAAAACATATCCAAAAGTGTAGCAAAGACAGAGTTTGCTCAATACCCGTAGAATGCTTGGAGAGCCTCCTGAACAGAAAACTGGGAAGGAGGGAGAACAGTTAGACCTCCATGGAAGAATTGGTTGAGGCTGTCTGGGAACCTGAATACCAACTCTTTGTTAAAATCACCGCTTGTTATGTACTAATATTGAATAGAGATACTCTGGAATTATTTGTTTTATTTTTGCAAAGAGCTGTGTTTAGGAGGGGGCATTAATTCACACACACAGCGCGGCCCAAAGACAATTGAAAATGCTATCAGCAACAAAATGCTAACCATGCATTAGACAATAGAGCAATGAATACTATTGTGCTGGCTGGCTGGAATTAGTCCCATTTTAAAAAAATGTTCTCTGGAACAGAGATTGTAAGATCACACATGCAGAAGTGGGTCAGAGAGAACAGTCTATGGGAATATTTCTGTATCAGACGCAAAGGAAAAATAAAATCTGAATCTTAATAGTCTCTACATAAATTAACTTCCAGTGTATGTGCACTTTTTTTTTCTTTTGCAGACATTAAAGTGAAGGAGCAGTCATTGGAGAATCTCATGAGGTAAGTTGTGTCACTAGGCATCTGGACTGTCAGCATGTGGCACTGAGTAGTGTGTGTAGATAGTTGAACACTTGAAAGTAGAATAACTGTTAAAGGAGTCTGTAGGATTATATACATAATTAATGCAGGAGATGGGAAGGAATTGTCATCACTTATATGTGGGTTATGGGACAGATCAATAGCAGAGTTAAATCATATTTGAAGTCCACTGGAACCCTACAAGTGTATTTCTACAAATATTAGGTTTAAATATATGTAGAGAATCTGGAATAAATATGTACCCAGACCTTGCCTCCAGTATAAGCTTTTCCAAAGATCCAAAAAGAGGTTTGCAAATATATTTTTTCTCATCAGTTGAATGCAGTTGAAGGCCTTTGCACAATCAGAAACATTACTGCAATCCATTCTCAACTTCTCTGAAATGCAGAGGCCTGACTTCTTATTGCATCCACTCTTAGGAGGCTTTTAATAGTAGCTAGTTTAGTCTTGTTCACAACAGTGTGACCACATTGTAGGATGAAACACCACCTACTTCAGGAAGCAACACCAGGAATAGGTTTCCAAGAGACAGCACCCTTGGCTTTCATGTTGGAAGGGATCTTAAAGAACATTAGTCCAACCTCTTGTTCTGTGCAAGATACACCAGATCACCTCTGACAGATGACTGTCCAGTCTCTTTTTGAAGACCTCTACTGAAGAATTGCTCATTATTTAGGTAGCCGCCTGTTCCACAATCAGGAAGTTCTTCTCGATATCTAGCCCAGACCTCTCTCCTTGTAGTTTTAAGTAGCTTTAAAGTCTTGTGCTAGCTGGGATTGGAGGCATCACTTGGCCTCTGCTTCAGGCAGTGTCATTGGCCAATGCCCCCAAACCTCTTTTTAGTCATCCTTCTCTGTTAAAGATAAACTGCCTGGTTCATAAGCAAACTTAATTCATATTGCATTCAGCATATATTAACTGTCTCCCATTTTTAAAGAAGCGAATAGAGCAACATTAGCTCTAACCCAAGTCATTTTATCCATGGTATGATTATTTTCCGCTCCCAGTTCAGTATTTCTAATCTGGGGGGATCAGTCTGCTTCCTTAGTCTCTCTGCCAGCTCATCGTATGGAACAGTTGATGGTTTCTGGACACATCCTTACTTCGGTTTTGTTTCATATTCATATGGACTGACAATCTCTGGAGATGATTTATTTTGGAACTTCTTCATAAACTCTGCTTGGCCAAGTCCAGGGTTGGCAAACGTTGCTGAAAACAACTCCTGAACACTGGATTTGGGGGACTATAATTATACAACTATAGAGTATGTGGTAGAAAAATACAGGCTTTCCTTTAAACTTGGCATGAATAGCTCAGATGCTGGTGCAGGAGAAGTAACACTACATTTAAGGGGGTGAGGAATAGATATGGATTGTACTGCAAGGGTAAACATGTGGCACCTCTTTTAGAAGTGGAGAATACATTCATTTGATTCATGCAGGCTATAATTCCTTGGTTAAGAGCTTCAAAACAGCCACAGCTGCCTAAGAGTGATTTTTGTTCCCACTGACCTAAGTGTTGGGTGCAGCTTTGTATGCACATGTAAACCTAGGCCAGTGAGGTCAATAGAAGAGCGTGCTAATACATTTCCTTCTACTGTGCATAGTGTGCACCACTTTTCATCTGAAAAAGAAAAATCTGGAATAGAAAAAGCGTGATGAGCGAACCCAACCTAAGTCACGGTTGAGTATAACCAAGATTTGTTGAATAAACCACAATGTGCAGACCAGCTAGTATAGATGTCAGTTTGTTGTGCTCATGAATTCCAATGTGACTAGGATGTAGAAGCTCCTTTTTTGACATCGTTGACTTTCTTCCGTCAGGGGAAAGAAGATCTTTGAGCCACCACGCTACATGAGTGTGAATCAAGCAGCAGAGCAGCTTCTTGCAGTTGTCCAGAATAGGCGGCTACAGGGCCAAGAGCCAGGTATATGCATGTCTATCTTTTCTGCTAGAAAGGTACCCTGGCTGAAATTTCTTCGGAATTCAAGAGCTCCCATGGCGGTATGGAGATGGGCCATCCTGAACTTGGCAAAGATATAGCTTGCATGGAAGCCAAAGTTTTACACCGGCTCATCATCCATAATGAAGTGTACGTCACTAGCCTGGAAGCACATATCTAAAGGCCGCAGAATGTTGGCCTGTACACAAACCAGCCACAAGCTCAATGACCCAGTTTATTTTATTTTTTAAAAAAAAGCATTCCACATGGATGTATTTCAAGAATGAATCACATTGACGTTAATCATTTCCCACACTCATAAGAAATGATGCATTTCCCTTCATACTACATGCCACAAAGCATTGGTCCTGAATGCATCAAGAGTAGGAAAGCACTTTTAATATAAATAATTGAATGAATATTACAGCCTCAGATCAGCACAAAAAAAAAAATACATATACCATACGTTGCCATCTTGTATTCAACTAATCATTTGACATCATGTTAAGAAATACAAACTTTGGTGGGAAAAATATAACCAAAAGTAGTCCTGTTAGTAAAATATTTTTGTGTTGTAGAAGAAAAAATCAAGTTAAGTAAATTGACCTTGGTTTGATCCTCAAGCATTTTAATAGTAAAATTGTAGATCAGGGATAGAAAACCAGGATTGCATTATGACTCCCATCATCCTTGTTATGATCCAGTCATTCTAACTGGGGATGATGGGAACTGAAATTCAACGATATCTGATTGGCTGAAGATTTCCCATCCCTGCTTTAAGGTTTAAAGTAATAAAGCTTCTGGTCCATTGGGGTTTGATCCCAGGCAATTTACAGCAAACCAAACTATGGACACTTACTTTCCATATAAGGGCAAGATGCTAGTTTAGATACACTATTTATCAAAAGTAAACCTGGAAGCACATTTCATTCATATGAAGCAAAAGCACATAAAAATAAGAATTATGGTTAAGGGGAGCCTTAACCACAATTTAATTCATAATCTTGATTCAAATAACATAAAACAGTACAATTTAGCATGTTGTACAGATTATGGTAAGTGAAGGCACACACACACACACCCCATCAAAACAGCAAGAAAAATGGGAGTGAAAATCCCAGCAAATTCTTTTTCATATTCTCTAGTTACAGAAACCTTTTTCAGGTATGAAATCCTGTCCACAGATATTTCATAAATACTCCCTTGTCCTTTGAATGTTGTTTTTTTAGGAAAATTCCCCAGTTACCAGGAATAGAATAGTCTTTCTGGTGGGCTGCATTCACTTAAATAACTGAGAACCTACCTGGCAAATTATTATATCTGAAGTTCAGATTCCTGATAGAACACCATATTTCCTGTGCTTGTTCTTTACACGTTTTGCCATATCCTATTACAAGGCAATGTTACAGGCATTGCTCAATTGCTGTCCAATTTTCAAGGAAGTGATTGTGGAGTTCTTCAGAAGGTTGCCTGGTGTCAATATAAGGATGATGTAACTTTTTTGCTAAAATAAAGAGGGAGAATCACTTAGAAGTGCTGCATTATCAGAAGTTTAAAGTAAATTTTCTGAATATCATGGTCCTTTTTTTTTTTTTGCAGAAGTAACAGAAAACACCATCTGTGTAGGCTTAGCAAGAGTTGGTGCAGTGGATCAGAAGATTGCTTCAGGTACTCTACAGGAAATGACTACAGTGGCACTTGGAGATCCTCTGCACTCTATGATCGTAACTGGAGTATTGCATCCCCTGGAAGTGGACATGCTTAAACTCTTTGCAGTAGATAAATCCATCTTTGAACACCACTGAGTTGGAAACTCTTTGTACCCCTATTGTGAATTGAAGCTGGTAAAATCCTTGTTAGTAATAAAAGCTACTCTGCAAAGAAGTAACCCGTATCTTGCCAAAGAAGACACCTAGGAAGCCCGGTTGCGATTCTTCATGGCTCAGGTTCACTGCTTACAACTGTTAAATGTTTTGTTACTTGACAGAATTAGAATAAAATAATTGAGAGTAGTGTCTTGATTCCACCTGTGTAGTAGGTGTTGGGAGAACCATCAGTATGGCAGAAGACAGAGAAGTTTCAAAAGTTAAAATATAGCACTTGGCTAGAATGGCTGATTGTTTTCAGTGTTAGACTTTGATATTTTCAGAAGAAATCTGTCCCTATATCGATGGAGATGTAAATATCTCAAGGTAGTAAGCCTGTGCCTGAACTGTACCATTTCAAACTGCAGATGATGATGATGATAATAGTAGCAGTAGATAAAGCTTGAATTGAACTTTAAATACCAGTATTTGCTGAGCATTCTTATAAGGCTATTGGATCAGAGAAACTTAATGAAACTTACAATTAAAGATTCAGCAAAAACAAAAACAGGAAATAATCAGCGCTTTGGGGAAATTCAAAAAGCCAGGTTCTCAGTATTTTCCATAGCAGAGTAGGGATGGGGCCAAGTAGATATCTGGAGGAATGGTATTCTAGCGGGCAGGAGTTGTGACAGAGAAGACATGCATCTAGGATCCCATGACACTGTTTAACTGAAAGCACTGAACCATGCCTATCCTGTCTGATCTTACAGGATGGGCAGAGACAATTGGGGAAGGTTAGTCCCACAGATAATCAAGCCTTGAACCATGTAGGGCTTTACAGATACCCCTCATCTTGAATTGCACCTGCTCACAGACAGAGGTGCTGCATGAGCACATGAGTTGTGTCCATACCTACTTATACAACTCCATGCTGGACCAACTGTATTTTCCAAGTGGTCTTCAAGGGCAGCCCCATATAGACCGCATTGCAGTAATCCAAATGATAGGTGACTAAAGCATGAGTAACCATGAGAAGGGTCTGTCAGCCCAAGAACGGGCATAATGAATCCATGTTAAATGCCTTAGCTACCATTTTTTAAATGAGATACGAGTCTAGGTTGCTTACTGGTTGTGTATGAGGAAGTGCAAGATGGAGATTTCTGGACTGAATCCATGCAAAAAAATTCCTCACAGACAAAAGTAGTATATTTGCAGAAGCTGTGTTAGAATTGCTTTACTAGTTCACTGCGCAGATTTACCAAGGTCAATTTTGTACAGCTGAGACAAGGCATCCAGGCTGCCAGGCCATTTCAAAAGTGGAAAGGGTCTTGTGGCCCCATCAGTATATGCAGCTAGTGGTTCATAATTCTCATGTAGCTCTCCTTTATTTGTCCTTTTTTTCTCAAGTGTTCTTTAAGCTCTTTTTACAGCTTGTCCTTTCAAAACTGGAGAAGAGGCTGTCTCCTCCCAAAGGAAGTAGACTCAAAAAGATCTCTAGGCCCTGCCTCTGGAGCAAGCAGGAAGTATCCACTTTCAAGCATCTTGTCTCTGATGTAGAAAATGGACCTTGACAGTTGGTTCAATGTACTATTTTCACTGAGTCCTCCTTCTCCATACTGTTTTCTGGAGATTTGGAGGTTTCTCGAAATGATTTTCAAGGGAGATTAAGGGATGTCATCTCTTCTGTGCTATTTCCATGAGGAGGAGCCTTAACACAGCCTTGAGTTTCTGCAGAAAGAGTGGGATATAAATCTAACAAGCCAACCAACCTCACAGTATCTCTGTATTCTTTGATTCACATATTGTGTTCTACTAAAATGTGGCTTAGCGTGCTGTGCAAGACCAGCTGCTGTAATGCATAATCCACAATTTACAACTCATTAGGGCCTATGACACCACTGTTTTTTGCCAATTAGAAGAGAGCTTAAGAATGATTTAAAAGGATGTATTTGGCCCCAATAACTGCACACACAACATTTGAGCTTTTGAAAAAAAGAGTTTATTGATAGGAAAAATTGATCCCAAATATTGTGTCAAACATTTTTGCTGTTTCAATCAAGACTGTATTAAAATAGAAAAAAAAAGATGCAATAAAATGGTCAATATTGCACTGACGCCAAGTCAAGACTGGCCACTAGCTATAGTATTTTCAAGTTATTTTCAGTATATTCAGCCACCACTTTGAATTTACCAGTACAGGAAACTCCTTAAACTCTACAGAACACCAGGCCTTTAGAAACTGAATAAAAGATTGGTTGGCAGCAAAATTCCATTTTATCTGAAAATACAAATACATTTTCAGGAAATAAGAGTTTCAGCCATTTTCTCATGCAGGAGAATGTATGGCTAGGCCATAAATACAATCTATAATCTATAATTTAAATTGGGGCTTGGCAACAAGACACACTACCACTAAACGGTGGTTACTGATCTCAAAAATTAAAAATAGATGGTTGAAACCTCATTAGATCAGTGTTCTCATGTCAGATTTTGGCCTATTAGAAGTTTATTTGACAGCTACAGGCTGCAGAGTGGTGCCCACTGCCTGAAAAGATTGCTGATCCCTGCATAAAATTTTTGGGAACTGATACCATACTAACATATGCAAACAATGCTCTTAAGTATTTCTTTATGTCGAAACTGATTTTCCGTCCCCTCCCCTCAACAATGGGACAATAAAAACACAAAATTCCATCTCTACTAAAGCTTAGACACAGAGCTCCATAGTAAAATTAATCATTAGTGGGACACAATTCCTTTAAGGTCAAAAACCAGTTGCAAAAAGATAGTTCGGTCAAAGTAGGAAGCATCAGTTAAAATGGAGGAAGGGAAAGGATGCAAGAATCTGAGGAAAATCCATATTGAAGCACTTTCTGCAGCAAAATAGAAGCAGAATCATGATTTACAAAAAGTAGAACTGAACTAATTAATTAGAGGATATTTTCTAAATTGGATAAGGCATGTAACAACCCTGGGTTTCATCTAAATCATACCAACCATATTTGAAAGAAAAAAAATGTAGTAGTAGTGCAGTTTTCCCTTGGAAAACATGTTAATGAATTTCACTGGTTTTAGTACCCCTATCGTGGAGTAACCGGCTGTTGATAGTTCAACTGCCAGTCTTGGTTTCTTCATATGCCAACACTATTCATTTGATAAAGTGCAGTTAGCATCTCTTCTTCCATCTCTTCTGAAACTTCAACCACAGTTATACCACAGTGTTTTGTTTACTAGACAAGACTCTGAATATCTGAATGTGATTGCAAGTGTTCATTTTTAGTAATGAAAAAGCACTGAAAGAAGAATGTTACTCAAGTTGCTGGTTCCATCTGTAGGAATGATGCCCTAAGCCCTCAGCTATGTTGGGCAGCCTACTTTCGCTCAAGAATTAAACAGATCCTATGACTAAGCCTAATACTTTGAACTTAAAAGTATAAAGGACACTTTTTTCCTTCATATTATCTATTTTGAGCTTGGTGGGCGATAACGTTCTATAATAAACCTCACCTCGTAAATTAAATACCTTGTCTTATGATGACAGACAAAAATGCACATTTGTTTACTGAGTGAGCCCTCTGCTGCATGACATTATGCAAAGGCAACACATTCAATGTATGTTATTTTGCCAAAGTTAGATAAAAGCAAGTTTCAGTGCCACATGTTTGGCCAAGTATAATTTAACATGCCTTACTATTTGACATTTGGCTGAGAGAAGTCAGCAACAATAAAGAGGATGACATCCTGCAGGAAGAAAACAAAGAGCATATTAACCCCACTAAAAAAGGTTAAGCAGTTTCCAGCCTCTCTTATTTAGGCACGCCCAAGGATTTAGAACATGCCAGCAAAAACCACAGAAGCAGTCATGTTATAGCATAAGCAAAATTCAGGCAGATGCACAATTCAGTGGAAGAGGTTGATTTTCTTTTTTGAAGGAGTGACTACAAATTAACTATTTAACAACAAGTTAACAATCTATTTCAGCACTCTTTTGCTGAAAGAGGTTCAGAGGCAATGGGATTTCACATTCGTCTACACAGAGCTAAATAATTATCTCCATATGGGGGGGAAATGGTATTTCTGCACCAGGCGAAAACAGCACAAATGTTTTCCGCTCTCGTCTCCAGGGATCTACTCCTATTGTCTTTCACGTATGATGGGAATCTCCATAAGAAAACAGTAATAAGCAAACAGTTTCAGTTGTGTCTTATGGAAAGGAATGAGGCCCAAATATGTTACTGTGCAAAAATAATGAATCAAAATTTCTATTAGGGTTTAAATTACAGGTTGCATAAAAATACTCATATTTCTATATTAACAGTAAGCCAAACAAAGCAGGGTTTAGAAGTTAATCAGCCAGTAATAAGTTATCTAAGAACAAGTGGATTAAAAAATAATAAAGGGAAGTTATTCCCATAAAAACCAAAAATCGATACTACAGTCTTTTCCAGTATAAAATTCAGATCCATTTTATGTATTTCTGATGCCTAACGCAATTTCATGCAAGCAACAAAAACAATTTTTGGTGTTAAGAAAACAATTTCTGACCATGAGTTAACACTAACCTTCATTTTTCTAGGCAAGCTCATCTTGCTTGCATGACACACTTTTGTTCCAGTTGCAAGGTCAAGTGACAAACAATTAATCAGGGCTTTGTTTATTAGCCTAAAATGGAGACTAGCTCCTAAGCAGCTTTAGTTCCAGCATTAGAAACAGCAAAATGCATATGTGGCATCTTTGTTATACTGTCCAAAGAAAACCTTTAAATATTACACTGGCACTGTGGGATACACACGGAAGACATATTACCCAGAGTGTCCCTGTGAAGTTTAAAAGAACTTCAATTATGATGGACAACAGCAGCACAGAACCAACGTTGGCAGAACAATTCACTAAATAATTAAGTGCCAGAAAATGTTGCTGAAAGATTTAAAGGTCCTTTAAGAATCTGATGGAAAAAGTCAAACTTCAAATATGGGGTATGATTTAGGAAAACTCATTATATTCAGTTAAAATGTGAATGTGTAAACCTAAGACAATGCAGACACTGATGAGATTGCCAGACTATCCTGGCTTAACATTCATAAGAGGATCAAATAATTTGTTAAGTAAACATATAGAGTACGAAGCAAAAGCATGTATTGTCTGTTGGCTAGCATAAAAAAACCCCTTCAATTAAAATAAATGTATCCAACATAAAGGCTCCAAATAGGAAGTAGTAATGCAGGAAGAAGCAAATCCATAAAAGCATCTCTCCTTTTGAGCACTTCATAAAAGTTAAATTAAAAAAACCTAATTCTTCACTGTGAGACTTGTCCATGTATGAAAAACAATTAAAAGACTTCAGATCAGAGAGAAACATCACATTCTTGCAAGCCATCCTTTTGCATGGTGGCTACATGTAGTAACGCCCAATTACTGTCAGGTGCTGCAGAACTAACAGCCAAGACTTCATAGTAATCAAACAATCTGCAAACAAGTTTTATGTATTCATTTTACCTTTGTATTTGAAAACTGAAGAGTCACCTCCCCAGAAACTTAAAAATGTAACATTAAGAGGGAATCCATCATCTCTCTATTCAATTACACATTTACATCACATCTATCACAGGCAAAAACCTTACTGGTACTAGTCACAGCCATAAAAATTAATAAAAATCCCCAATGCTTCCTCTCTGTGCTGACAGATACTTTGATATAAAGGCACTCTGAAAACCCAATATGGTTTGGTTCGTTAAGTTTGCAAAGTACAAACAGTCTTATAAACAGTTATGCTGTAGAATGTCAACCACTGTGACATTACACCCCAAAGTAATTTCCGTTAATCCCCCTCCCTGCAATAATACCGGCTCTGTGGGAATGAGAAATCTCTGCAGCAGCTTTACAGAAAGCACAGTCAATGATTGCAATACCACATCTGTATTTTTAAGTCTGCTGTAGGTAGGAACAAACTTGGCAAGGAATCCATAAAGGTTTGGGGCTCCTGAAAGTCAATCCCAGGTAATCAAGATGAGGCCCCCTTCATTTTCTCTTTTGCTAATCAGACAGCAAGAGAGTATGCTGGACAACTGAGACAAGGAATTTCAGTTCCAAAGGAAGAGCAAAGTCTTAAAATGACAGTACTAGAAAGCTTTGGTCCAAGGAGGAGATGAAAAGGTTCGCTACATAGTGGCAAGGTCAATCTGTACATAAAGTTGCCTTACTCCAGCCTGTAAACACAAGGAAGAAACACATAAGTCAGTAATGAGAACAGATGAGCCACATTTCAAATGCTATAAAGTCACTCAGTATGATCGATCATGGAACTGACTTGCAAACCACTTGAGGTCTGCTCCATTTAGGAAAACAGCCAGTGTAGTACAGTGGTTGAGATATAGGACTGGGATCAGGGAGACCCAAGTTCAATTCGTCATTCAACCACAGAGGTCACTGCATAACTGGGTCAGTCACTCTCTCATCCCAGCTCCCCAAAGAAAGTGACTGTTGCAGGGATAAAATGAGGGGAGGTTCCCATGTCTGCTGCCTTGAGTTCCCAGCAGAAAGGCAGGATGTAAATTCAATAAACATGACCAGTATTATGTATACATGGTTCTTATTAATAAAATGGCCCTACAGCAAGCTCTTAATTTCATTGTCCCTTGGTTTTATGATTGTAAAAACAAATGGATTTTTCTGGTTCAAAATATTTTCATAAGAATGCTTGAAAAAGGTTGTTTTGCTTGTGTAAAACACTTAATGTAATGAAAATGAGAACTAGCCAATAGAAAAGATTTTTGTGAATAGTCACAAAGAAAAATTTAAAATACACACACATACATACACACACACATATATAATACATATTACTAGATTGACGCTATTTTTAAAGTTAAGAACCATAGCCAAAGATTTATGGAGCGCAGCTTTTAAACTTTTAAAAATGCTAGACAGTGTAGGTACTTTAACATACATCTCATAATTTTTAGCAAAAGAAAAATAAGAGGCAAATTTTCTCCCTTAGAACAGAAGTGATCCATAGACCAACAATCAACAGAAAAATGACAGATATTTGTAAAGCTAAACAGCATCTATCTAGAAATAAGTGTAAATATAAATTAATGTAGAATTTAGATTATTTAGAATTTAAATCCAGAAATAAGGCTTCTTGCAACTCCTGAATTTTATAATTCAACTTAGTTTTTTTGAAGACTCCAAAACATGTTAAAAATCATTCTACCTTAATAATATTTTCCTCAGTTGTTAAAAACAGCATTGCAACTTATAACCTAGATGTACAAATTTTACCTGAGTAAAAATGTTGTGAGTTTGGCTTAATATCCACTTTACATCAGCATCTGGAGCTACAAACAGTTTCAAAGTCCCTATATAAACATCAGTACAAAGGGTCCAGAAATGAGGATCATGCAAATTGTAAACTCCTTGCAACTGCTGAACCTAAAATACAGAAGTTAGTATTTAGTTTTTCCTTCTTTTAAATGATTCATAAGAGTGATTTATAAGAACCAATTAATCTGAACCCTGAAAAATTCTATGTAATATTACATAATAAGCAAAATGAATTCACAAAAAAAAAAAAAGCCCAATTATTATTTTTCTTCTAAGACCAAATATAGTAAATCAGTCTCAATCTTATTCTGAAGAGAGGGTGGAGTTTTTTTTGTTTTTTTGTTTTAATTTCTGTTCCCAAAATTTAATCCACAGAGTACAAAATGTTTCTTTCCTGCTGTTAGGAACATTACGGTATCTTATACTAAACCAGATTTTTTAAAATCATAACTTGTTAAAGAAATAATAAAATCTGCTTTGCACATAACCCTAAACAAAAATTATGTTCATACATTAACCCCAAAACAACCACACCACATTATGGCTTAAACATTATGAGAGAAACAGGGTTATAACTCAACATGATCTTAATACTGAGAGACACTGGTAATACATTTTTTCACGTAATTTGCTTTCAGATGTTTTAGACCACCTGCCAAAGTCTAAAAAACACCTACAAGGCTTCATATTGGAGAAGACTATATTGGCATAAATAACTGAAAGCTAGACAGGACACGAATGTTCCTTGTTTATTCATTCTTTCTGCAATTATGAGAATCAGGTTTCAATTTGTATAGGATGAAAAGTGTACAAATTCACAAATTTGTTTCATTGGATAATTATGATTAGTTTTAGTGTTTTGTTCATTTACCAAAAGAATTGTACAGGCTTTCCTGAAGGACAAGTGTTCTCCAGATGTTGAACTTCTGCTGCTCTATTTGAGGAGTATGTTTCAAACCAATCAAGATACTGCAACTTACCCGTTGATAGCACTGAGGCAAAGTACTTTCCAGAGAAGGAGGCGTCCGTTGCATCAGAATTCCAATGGATTCTCTCAGAAGTGGAACAACGCTAGAAATGTTTTTTTAAAGTTATTTTAAATGTCACTTTTAAAAAAAGGTATATTTATGCAACAGATCGGAATTAGGTTCCTTCATTCTCATGAAGATACACTTTCTTACGTTAGAGCAATAAAAACTACTAAAATAAGCAAAACAAAAACAAAGCAAAAAAGACCAATCAGCAGAATATTTTTTTAATCAGTAAACACAGTCTATGATTTTTTATTTTTTTTCTGTTTTATTGCCTGGATACATCCACACTCATGATTTGGATTGTGAACTCTTAGTAGACACAAAACAAATGTAATGAAATTGTTGTAATGGCAGCTGTACCCCACAAATCATGGTGAAATTTAAGTACAAATTAGAATGAGATAAATTCAATCATTAAAATCACCAGCATTCTAAAATGTCTGTAGTATTAGGCAGTTTCTTTACTTGTAAGTAACATAGCAGAAACACTATCCTTTAAGTGCATGGACTCTTTCTAAAAGAAACAGTATTCTCAGAGTGTTCAGACTCTAAAGATAATGGCTGTATGTATGTTTTCTCTGTGTGCGCGTTTATGTGCGTGTGTATCACTTTACCCCTCACTTTTCCAAAGCAATTAAAACAGAAATCCTTTGACTAATGATCTTCTCCAATTCATCCAAACCAGAAAATGACTGCTGGATTTACACATTACACTAAGACAGTTTATTTTAACTCTGTATACCTGGCTAAGCAACTCACAATGATCTCATTCATGACCTGTTCTAAGCCATAAGCCCTATTTACAATCCACAATGGTTGGGTTCACACATCAAGCAACTTCAGAACCAAACCAACATGGTGATATAATACAATATACCATCCTTGGTTGGATTAGACAAAATATCAAATGAATTTTTCCTGGTTTGATTCACTTTCAAGAAAAAGAAAAGATCAGTGAAACCATGTGAGCAGCAATAAGGTTTATTCAAAACATTATGGTGAAATTTGATTGTCCAAATTTAACCATTATGGAGTGATTCAATTTATATATCCTAAATATGCATCCCTCGCTCTCTAAAAAAAAGCCATTTACTAACTATGGTAATTTCCCACAGAGAAAAATGGAGATCAAGATTGTTATGCCGCAACATACAACTCAGCTGTGACTCAGGCACTTGACAGAAGAGACAACACTAATAGGAAAAAAAAATACGGATGGTTCTTTAAACCAGGCTCAGTTACAATAGTAATTAAAACAACCATCAAGATATATAATACATGAATTTTTAAAAAGCATGCTTGCTTTTGTCTCTGGTTTAGAAAATGTTTTTCTTACAATCCAAGATAATAAGGAATGGGGTGCGAGTGGGAGAAGAAAGTTCCTAGAACTAAATTAGTAGGTACAAGTTCAGCCATAATTAAATGACTTGTTTAAAACAGCCAACTCTGCACTTCTTGAAATAAGGGAACCCGGGGATTTTAGCAGAGCATAAGCAGGGAGCATTTGGAAGCAATTAGAGGCTCCTTTCGACAACTGTAAAATGAGCATATTGAGGTATCAGTAGAGACACACAATTCCCATGATAAAGGGCTTAGAATCACAGATTATACACAACTGCACCACTCAGAATATTGAGATTTCTATGACTCTAATATCAGGAATATTGAGGTCACCACAGGCATCTGTGGAGGGTGGGTATACAACAAAACAGGCATCAAGATGTTGCTATGCAAACTTCACTATTTATGTGTGATATCACACTGCAAATACAAAAGGGTTGTGTTGTGATACCACGATGCACATTTTGTCATTTGGGTATCATTATGATTGGGAACAAATGCCTATATGTGTGACTACCCAATATTCTCAGATTCAGAACATTATCAGGATTCTTCAGAGGGCTGGTTTGGAATTTTCTAATAACACCATAAAAAGGATTGAAAGAATGTGTAGTTTCCAGTCTAGATTAAGCACTTTTTCCTTAGCTTTAATCCCACTTTAGGCCAAATAGGGTAACAATAGGGCTTAAATGACATTCAGTGGAAAGAAAGTGAATTAGACAAGTAGCTCCTAGGCAGAAAAGGTATACCTTCAAATTTTCAAAATTCATTCTCTAGATGAATGAGAAAATTATGTCTGGCGATTCTGCTGTAAACATTGTTCACATTACAACTTCCCATCAGAAGCTTGTACATAATGGAAATTAACCATTCAACATCAGCATTACTGTAAATAATTTCTTCTGTGCAAAATGTGATGCACAGACGAATATTTAACACCAAATAAAGGCCTAAGAATTCTATAAGGCTAAGAGATTACTAATTGCCAGCCAACTACATGGTTTTCAGCAGCTATAAGAACAAAAGAGAGGAGAAGGACTTTAATCCATGTAGCCTAATCAAGTTATTGCTGCCAGGGTGTGGACATGAAGGCAAAACTGTTCTTTTTGAAAGGAAAAGAAAATATAGTCTCCCTAGTGTCAGGAGGAGAGCCAGATGGTTAATGGGAGGTTTAATGGGATCCCAGAGAGGGTAGATTTACCCTCGGCAATGAACCATTTTATTCTTAGCTTTAATAACATTTCAGGGACACTTTAAAAGTAGAGCCATACAAGAAAACTTAAAATGAAGTTCAGATGAAACAGTGTGGAAAAAGTGAATCAGAGCAATTATTCCTTTAAAAAAAACCCTGCAAAATCAATTCAAAACCTCTTTATCTAGATGGCCTCATAAACCGTTTGAGGTGATCTAGATCACGGGTGGTACAAGGCCTGATATATACTAAAGACTATCCAAATGTAAAGCTCTTTGTCTTTAGAAAACACACAGATAGCCCACCTGCAATATTTAACAAAGACTCTTGGTATTTCTGCATACAACATTTTTAACAACTATAAGAAATCTGGTTGCTGTTCCCTATACTTGGCATTTTCAAATAATAGTCTGCTGGTTATACTGCTTATTAATATATGACTGCAGTGGAAAGTTGTATTAGATGCAATTTTGGCTTATGCATTTGATAATGTTGCTCATACTATGGTATAATGTTTATACTATTTGTATACTTGACCTTGGTTGATCTCGAAAAGCAAAGAAAGGCTGGGCCTAGTTTAGAATTTGGATGGGAGACATCAAAGAGTTCCATAATTATAGTTAGATTGGTGTGATGGAATGGAATTATGAAGGCCAAGCTCAGGCAGATAAACATTTTCTTAGCTTGCCAGAACCGCTTGGGAGGAACAAGAGGATGAGACTGGCACCTCCCTGAGGAATTCACACTGTTGTGGCTG